TGGTGACATAGATAAGAAATTCTTATCTAACTCAAGATCACAAATACTTTGTCCTGTGCCTCCTTCTAGAAATTTCACAGCTTTGCATTTTACTTTGAGGGCTGTGATCAGTTACGAGTAAGTTTTGCACGTTATTCAAGTATAGATGGAGATTATTTTCTTATATGTGTATCGAGTTTTCCCAGCACCATTTGTTCACAGGATCACCCTTTCTGTAGTACTTATGTTGAAGCCACTTGGGCACATGTGGATCCAGTTCTGAATTCTCTGTTGTTCTGTTGAGATGTCGGCATCAGTTCATCTTGGTTATGTATTTTTTTTAATAAGTCTTGAAGTCAGGTAGTATCAGGCCTCCAACTTGGTTCTTTTTCAGTGTTGTTTGAGCTATTTCAGGCCGTTTGTATTCCCATGTGGATTTTAGACTCTGGCTGGCAATTTCTACAAAAAGACCATTGGGATTTTGATTGGGATTGCACTGATCTATAGACCGATTTAGAGAAAATCAGCATTTTAACAGTAGTGAGTCTCCGACCCTTGAACATGGTCTGAGTCTCTGTTTCAGTAGGTCAGTTTTCCGTCTCTGTTAGCAGTGTTTTGTACTTTCCAGGGTTCCCGGTCTCATACATCCTTTGTCAGGGTTATATCCCTGTTAAAACTTTTAACACTATTGTAAGCAGTAATTTTTCATTTAAAATCCAATTGCTTGTTGCTAGTATATATAAACACGTCAGTTTTTATGTATTAATCTCATATCACATAAGCTTGCTAAGCTCACTCAATAGTTCTAATAGCTTTTTTTAGAGATTATCTAGGATTTTCTCCATATACAATCACATATTTGAATAAAGACACTTTCACTTCTTCCTTTGTTTCTGGATGCATTGATTTCATTTTTACTGCCTTACTCACTGACAGGACCTCTAGATCTCTCTGGACTGAAACTCAATGACACAGCCACCTTGTTTCTGATCTTCAGGGCAAAGCCTTCAGCCTTGTGTTGTTGAGTCCATAGCCGTAGGTCTTTGTGGTTGCTTCCATCGAGTGAAGAGACCCCAGGTTGCTGAGAGTTAGTCAGGAATGGTGTGGGGTTTTGTCAGATGCTTTCTCTGTCAAGTGAGATGGCTGCGTGGTTTCCCTTTTCTATTTTTAATCCATTGATAAAGTTGACCACTTTGGCTGATTTTATAATGTACAGTAATTTTCTCTTCCTAGGATAAGCCCCACTTGGTCATTGCGGTGTAGTAAATTACATGATACAGCTTTTCTGGTCATAATCTTTCTAACTCTCACTTTGCCGTGAGCAACTGAGTAGCTGTGAGTTGAAGTCATCCACCTGGGGCGGCAGGAAGTAATCTTCTGGGGACGTTAACTCTCTCAGGTGTGTAAAATTCTGGTGTTGGGATTGGTTGGTTTTGCCACTCTGCCAAGCTCAAAATGAGCCCTCCTAGAGGCAGAAGAAAGCTGACTGTCAGCTGAGAGAGATGTGCTGCTGAGAGAGAGAGACGCCTGGCTGAGAGACAGTGGCAGTGGAATCGAGGGGCAAGCTTATCTGGCCCGCAGAGGCCAGGCCGAGAGGCCAAGGGCCAGAGAGGCATGTCTAAGGGCACAGGAGAGGGAAGACTGTTCCAATTGAAGAACTGTATGATGAGTGCAGCAGACTTATCTGGCCCGCAGAGGCCAGGCCGAGAGGCCAAGGGCCAGGGAGGCGTGTCTAAGAGCACAGGAGAGGGAAGATTGTTCTGATTGAAGAACTGTATGATGAGTGCGTTCTAAACTTGAATTGTAGCCTGTTGCTTCCCTAAGAAACCTCATAATCTGTGAGTTGTGTGTGGCCACTGCAGCGAATTATCCAACCCAGCAGAGAGGTGCTGGGTGCCACAGCAGGGGCAATTGCTGTCAAGGTCGGAAAGAGAGCTGGAGGCTGGCAGCATGTCTGGCCTCCTGAGAACAGGCTTGGGCTGCTGGTAGTGATTCTGTCCTCCTCTTGTGTAGTTAGAGGTCAGAAGATGCCACCTCCATGCCTGTTTAGCAGTCGTGATATCATTTTCTTTTATGCTGTGTTAGATTTGAGTTGCTGAAATTGTGGAACTTCTTGGTTCACATTCCTGAGGTACATTGGTGTAGCTTTCTTGACGTGTCTTGCTGATTTGGGTAGCAGGGCAGTGCTGGCTCTGAGTTAACTGGGCAGTGCCCTTTCTTCCACGTTCTGGGAGCATCTGTGTAGACTTGGTATCCCTTCTTCCTAAAATGTTGGACAGACTTCACCAGTGAGGCCCTTGGGGACTAAAAGTCTCTGGGGCCAGGTTCTTTTGTTTTGTTTTGTTTTGTTAATTTTTATTGTGATTTGAGTGGAAGTTTACAGAGCAAATTCATTTTCCATACAGCAGTTTATACACATTTTGTCTTACGATATTGACTGCAATTACCCACAGTGTAACAGCTCTCTTCCTTTTTCTTCCCCATAGTTATCTCTTCCCTGAAGAAGGGCCCTTTTTAAAACAGATTAGGTAGTGTTCTTCCCCTCCCTGAAATCCTAAAATTCCTTCTCATTTTGCATAGTCTGAAATCCAGAGTATTGACTTTGGACTACAAGTCCCCACATGAATTGGTGTGGCCAGGTTTTTAAGTCTAGAGTCAGTTTCTTTCCCAGATAAAGGACTACTTAGACTTTCAGTTTCTTACTGATTATACTTGGGTAGTGTGTGTCTTCTAAGGAACATGTGTTTCATCCAAGGTGTCTTAAGTTGTACAGGGGTGTTCATAGTATTTCCTTGTTACGCTTTCTGTAGACTGGTGATGTCACCACTCCTTCTGATCGCCGTCATGTGTTGGCCCCCCACCCCCATCACCAAGTTTGCTGAACTTCTCAGAGAATCCACCTTGGGCTTCATTGATGCTCTCTAGTGTCTCTCTCCCTGTTTTATCGGGTTTTGTTTCAGTCTTTTATTATTTCCTCTCCTGTATCCTGTGGCTTCCATTTGCTTTTATTTTTCTAGCAGAAGTAGCGATCATTGCCTTGAGGCCTTTTCTGATGGTAGGAGTTTAGTGTGGAACGGAAGTTACTCCCAAGTTTGTCACCAGCCCTCTGTTGCTGGACATTTAGCTTCTCAGGTTTTTGCCATCACAAACGTGAAACAATAGATACTCTTCTGTCTTTGTCAGTGATGCTGAAATGTAGGAAAGACTGGCATCTTTTCTATATTGACTTTCCTACTGGGAAACTAATTGAGGACATTTTAATTTCTTTCTGTTTTTCCTCCTCTGGAATTGTTTGTCATCATGTTAGTTTCCCATGTCGTCTTCTGTTTTTTTTCTCATGGTTTTCTGTCGCTTGTCTTCTTCCTTTGTTTACTAGAAATACTGCCAGTGTTCTGCCATCGTAGTCTTTGCTGTCTTTCGGATGACTTACTAGTGTCTGTTGTACAGTAGTCATCCCACGTAGTCCTCATAGTCCTTGCTGTCTTTCGGACCACTCGCTGGGGTCTGTTGTACGGTAGCCATCCCGCGTAGTCCTTGCTGTCTTTCGGATCACTCGCTGGGGTCTGTTGTATGATAGTCATCCGCTGCCTTTTTGGCATTCACATAGATTTCCTTTTCCTTCCAGCTCTCAATGGGATGGAGCATCTAAACTGGGTGCCTGTCTGTCAAGCCTTTCTTGATTCCCTGGTGGAAACCAGGATGTTTCTGATTTGGGTGAATTTCTCCTTTCATGGCTTCTAGGATTTACTGGCTAACATTTTGTTCAGGTTTTTGTCACCATCAGGAAGCAGGATGGTGGTGGGCAGGCTGATGGGACTGCCTGTTTGCTGTTTTGTGCTACCTCTGTCACATTGTTGGGGCCTTTGTTACAGTATCTTTGAAAAGACTACTAAAACATTCCCCCTTTCTCTCCATGGGGAGAGAGTTTACGTAGCATTGTGTTGTCCATTTCCAAAGGGTTTGAGTGCAACTGTGGGCATCTCCGGATTGGAAAGGGCCAAACTTAAAGACAACACTGTCAGTTTTTGACTGACTGACTGACTGACTGACCAATCAATATGAAGGCCCTTTGAGGCCATTTTGCTGGTAAGTCCTGGGGGAGCTAGTTCTGTTGCTGTTCACCTTTGAATGGGCACACTGTGTCCCAGGCAGCCATCTGCTGCAGGTTATGTTGGGGGGACAGACGGGGCTGCCGACAGCTTCAGCGCCGCAAAACCCCTTGGGAAAGGTCTCTTCTGGCTCAGGCCTGGAGATGCTGACGGACTTCTCAGATGCCCTGTGCACATGGTTATGTGGCTTCACATGGACACACAGACCTGGACTGTGAGGAACAGGGTCCTGGGGGGACCTTGGAGCCATGGCTGTGCCCCCTTGTGTCCAACTGAGGAGCGGTCAGGCCCCCAGCTGGATTTGCCAGCAGTCTGTATCTGGCCCAAGTTCTGAGCAGGTGAGTATCCCTCCCGTGTCTTTGCTGGTTCGCAGCCAGACTTGTCTCCACATGGTGGACGCTCCTCTGTGTGTGCATTGCAGATCTGCCATCCTGTCTCAGTGACGAAGGAGCTCTGGTCCCCAGTGTTTGTTCTTGCTGCTGTTTTCCGTGAATTGCAAGGGACACCTCTGTGATCAGAATTTTCACTTGACACAGTAGTGCCACTATTTCTCTAAACCTTCAGAGACTGTATTTTCACATTATTTGCTCATCAACTTTATACATTAAAACAGAAATGTTCCCAAGAAGAAAGGAATCCCTGCTTTTCTGAAACCTGGGATATTTCTGTTCTGAACACACACTCCTGATTTTCTGATGTTGTATGTGGACATGTACAGTAAAGTGGGTCCTGTCCTTGAGCTTTTCCAGTGGGACCCCTGAGACCCTCAGAACTGTGCTGTGGCCCTTCCTGTGCCTATTTGTCAAGGTCACACTAGTTTACTGACTTGGATTGTGTGATCAGGCTCCTGTCCGCATGCTTGTCATAAGGCCTCTGAAGGTAAGATGATTTTGTGCTGTGTTTTTTTGGCAGGACTACAAGCAGACGATGCCACTTTGCACTGCAGCAGGTCTTCCATTTAGGGGTCAAAGGTATTACCCCTGTGGGAGCTAGTGTTACCTCATCCTAGGGTGTTCTGTAGGCTTCATGTCAGATGTTGTGTAAAAGTACAGTCTCTTCAGTCATGTATTAGCAGAACTGTGATGTCTACATTTTTACTTTCTCTTGGGGAAAGCTAGTGCTCTCACCTGTTGGAACCATATAAAGACGGCTGAAATAAGGGACAGTGCACTCACTGCACTCTAGTTTCCCCTCTCAGTACAGCACATGCTGTGCTGGGGGTGGACAAGTTCACGGCTATGCTGCAAAGAACCCGTGGCACGTGTGTTACACTACAATTCAAAGCAGTACAGCGGGACAGAAAGGGTGGGCACGGACCCGAGATGAAGAACCTGAATGGGGTTGGCATACACAGGGAGGCCGCCTTGGTTTGTCTTTTGTCAAGTTTTCAGTCACAACCACCCCCTTACCTTTTCTTCTTGTTTTGAAAGTGTTATTTCCAGAAGAAGTCATTTTACAGTCTCCCCAAGTTACAAAGAACTGGAGCCCGGTACCAAATCCCAAAAATGAGGAGCAGCCCGCCGCCAAGGTAGCAGGTTCATTCTTTTGTATTTTAAAGGAATGATGTTGTGCATGTTTCTTTGTGCACTGCCTCTCAAGTTGCCGGAGCATTGGGGAAGTGTGGTCATGAGTGATCCAGAATTTTAGTTAAATACGACTAACTGGTAGTGGGACGTTCACATACGGTTACACGAGGGCCAAGATGGCTACAGTATAGTAAGTGGGAAAAAGCAGAATCGTGCGCTAGAGCCCCACTGTACTCTGACAAGCGCGGTGTCCCTGTGAGTCAGTCTGCTCCATGGCAGCACCTGGGGGGGGGGTGAAGTAGAAGGTGAGTGACTCTCTGTGCTCACTCAGCCGAGGCACACCTGTGTGTCACAGAGAGCAGCTGCAGGTGTGCCCCACCCCATCGTTAGCGTGTCTGCCTTTGGGGCTGTTGCAGAGTGTTGGTTTTCTCGTGGCGACAGCCCAGTTGCTCCGTGAAGACTGACGTCACGCTCGTCCTGCGCTGTGTGTCATGTGGACTCTCAGTGCAGCTTATAAAACACACAGCACTGATTTCATCATAGCGCTTCCAGAGAAAAACAATCTGTACCTGGAGGGGTTCACCACCACCCTCCCGTGCCATTTGGGTTTGCTCTCGTGAGCACATTTAAGCGTACGATGGGTGTAATTTTCACACTGAGGACCAGCCATCTCTGGCCACTGCCAGCATGACCATGTTAGAATGACTGCACAACCATGAGAAGCACCTTGAAAGAGACAGCAGGTCGTCATTAAATCTCCTGCTGTGGATCTGGTCTCTGTTTTGCTCTGGAAACAGAAACATGTCTTCACGGGGCGCAGATCACTGCCATCTGCAGAGCTCTCCCTGCGTCATCACCTTGGTCAACTTCAGGGGCTCGGACACTGGTGGGGCAAGAAGTGGGGTGCCGTTCAGGGCCCATCCCTGACTGGCTGTACCACCATGACTGTACGTGCAGACCCTGTCTTCATACGGATTCACAAAGTTGCACTAAAGCTCAGGGGTGTCTCCACTTCTGCCAGGATGGAGTCACCGTGTCAGGCTTGATTTCCTCCTGAAACCCTGAAACCAGACAGAAGACACAGTAGACATCCTAGGACAGCGCCCCCAGGGAGAGTACATGTGTGACCCCTCTGACTGCCCACCTTACAGGCTTGGGTGGGTTTCCAGGCCAGCAAGGGGTATGGAGCCAGGCAGAGCCCATGGGGCACTTGAGTTGAGGGGACAAGACTTGGAAGTATAGGGGACAAGGGACCCAGAGTGCACAGGGCAGAGGCCAGAGAGACCTTTGGGGGCCACAGAGGTCTCCTAGGTTCTCAGAACTGAGTGCTGACCAGCATGCATGTGTGAGTAAGACCACTGGGAAGGAGCAGAGAGTCATGCTGTGCATTCACATGATGTCAGGGATAGCTTCTGTTGCTGCAGCCAGAGCCAGAGACCCTCCTAGTTCCAGGGCCACAGGGGCAAGACTCAGGGGTATCCCCTCAGTGTGGGAGATCCTTCATGTTCACAGGGTATATGTGGGTTGCTCAGGGGCACCCCCTCAGTGCAGGGGATCCCTTGTGTTCACAGGGTATATGGGTTTGTCGGGGGTACCCCCTCAGTGTGGGGGATCCCTCATGATCACAGGGTGCTCAGGGGTGTCCCCTCAGTGCGGGGGCTCCCTTGTATTCACAGGGTGCTCAGGGACCTCTCCTCAGTGCGGGGAGTCCCTCGTGTTCACAGGGTGCTGAGGGGCCCCCCTGAGTGTGGGGGAAGCTCAGGGGCATGCCCTCAGTGTGGGGGAAGCAAGACCTCCGATGTGTCAGGCAGTTTCCAGGGGATTTCACTGTATCCCAAGAAACAGGTCAGGAATAGTGGTAGGAAAGATCGGCACCCAACTAGGTCTGAAGTTCAGTGTCATCCAGTCAGAAGTCAAAGAAACTGACAGATGAGATCTGTCAGGAGAAAGTCAACTAAAACTTGGCCAACCAGTCTGTGGAGACAGTTCTAGAGTGTCTTCCACATGTCTAAGAACGTGGAGACACGCTTGAGCATGTGATGTGGAGACGTGAGAGACACGGACTGTCCTCTGGGGAGGAAAAATCAACGTTTACTGCACCCTCTGTGCCCAGAAGTCACAATAGCTGAGGTGCCAGAGAAGGAACAGGTGGTGAACTTGAAGACCTGGCAGGGGAGACTGTCCAAGGTGAAACAGAAAGAGGAGGTGAGAGAACAAGGCATAGAGGGTCCCGTGTTGACTCGTGGGACAGCTTCAAGCACCTGACATATGTGTCATTAGAGTTCAGGGGTGGGAACGCCTTCAGAAAAGGGATGTGGGCACAGCAGCACCCAGGGACTGGGCACCTTGCCTGGTTTTCTAGTTTGAGATTTGAGGTTTGAGCCTAAAACTTACCTACAAGATAAAGCCTGCTTCTCATTAAAATATTTTTAAGATAATAAATGGCTGGAATTTTTCAAAATTTGATGCTCATAAAGCCTCATACCCAGAAAGACCGAGAACTCCGGAGTACAGTAAACATGAGGCTAACTGTCCCAAAGCACATGACAATCAGATTCCCTACAGCTGGAAAAAAGGAAATCTTCAAAGAAAAGGGCTTATGGTGTACTTGGGAATGGAGATACAGGCAGCAGACTTCTCATCAAAGAGCAGACCAGACAGCAAGCCCAAGTCTTTAACACGAGGGAGAAGCCTCAACCTAGAGGGATGGACCTAGTGAACGTTTTCTGTTTTCAAAAACAAAGGTGAAAAGGCCAAGAGACCCCTGAGAAGGTGCTTGATGCTTTGGTTCTTCCCAGTTTTCCTGTTCTAGAAATAATCATCACGGGAAGGCAAAGTGAGACCCCAGTGAGGTTCCACGTCACACCAACCAGGGGGGTCCTCAAAACATGGACAGGAGCTGGTATTGGTGAGGCTGTGAAAAGACAGGGACTCCCCCCTGTTGCTGGCAGGAGTGTGAAATGGCATGGCCGTGGTGGCAGCATTTGGAGCTGCTCAAAAAGTGAAACACCACAACCCCATGAGTCAGCAGCTGTGCTGGGTGTGCGCCCAGGAGCCGTGGAGACAAAAGTCCACAGCAGCGCTCACCCTCATTGTCCTGAGGGCTCAGCACCATGTGGGCCATCCCCACAGCGGGCTGTCGTTCAGCTGCAGGTCGGAGCAGAGTGCTGGTCAGCCACAGCTTGGATGACTCCTGAAAACTCCTTGCTGAGTGAAGTAGGTCTGACACAGAAGGACAAGCGCTGTGTAACTCCATTTACCTGCGCTATCTAGAACAGACTCATCCAGAGAGACAGCACACAGGTTGGTAGGTGCCAGGGGCTGGTGTGGGTGAAATGGGGAGAGCTGCTTAGAGGCTGCAGGTCAAGTTGGAGGGTGGAGGTGTCCCGGAACTGGATCGGGGAGGTGGTGGCCCAGCACCACAAATGGCCTTCATGCCACTGTGTGGGTCACTGTGACACAGGTGACCTCGTGTGACATGAATTTCACCTCCTTAAATCATGAGAGGAGAGATGAAGGTGAAATAGAGCTACTTCAGACATAGGAGAGCCAGAAGAGCTAGTCACCAGCAACCGGAAACTACTACACAGTCCTTCAGGCCTAAGGGAAATGATCGCAGGTGGATTAGGAGCTTCATGGAGTACTGAAATGAACCAGAATAGCTGTAGTGACTGTGTGGGAGGCTGGCTGGCTGTCAGTGCCCATTGGAAGGGGAACTGACTTTCTCAGGCCGAGTTATTAACATTGGAGGTGGAGACTTGGGGACACCCGCACCTGGGAAGGCTGGGAGGGAGCATGCAGATGGCCTTCCTGGATCTTGTTAGAACAGCGTGGCAGCACTTTCAGACATGGGTACTGTGAGCAAACCCAGCCACTGGCTGCAGGGAGGCGGCCAGCCATGACCTGCAGCACTGTCAACAGGACACAGGGCACGTCCACTGGTGCCCAGTCATGTACCTCATGGACAAAGCGGCAGCCAGCTCCCCAAAAGGCCCGGAGGGGCTGTGTGGAGCAGGCCACTGCCTCTGAAGGGCAGGCATGGCTGAGAACCAGGCCAGGAGAGCCAGGCCCGGCGCCCCTCACCCACACGCCAGGAGCAGAGCCTGGCAGGCAGGGGAAACGTCAAGATGAGGGGTGTTTTCATCAAATGAGACGGAGGCCTATGATTTGGTTTCCAGTTTCCTTCTTCACAAAATTAGGCAACTCAAATCTGGTTTTTTAAAGAACCCAGAAGGGAAACTAACCTTTCTGAGCCCAGCAGCGGTCCTGTTTTCATCGTGTTTCATGCGACCTCACTTGTGAGCTCTAGAGGCTGTTTGGGAGAACAGGCAGAGCACGGGCAGGCATCTTGCTCCTGGAATGGAGCTGGTGTAATCACAGAATTGCTCTTTCTAAGCTGTGTTTTTTCCTAAAAAGCCATTTCTCCGTGATTATTTCTAGAACAGGAAAACTGGGAAGAACCAAAGGAAACCTGTCACAAAGAGGCAGGTTGGTGCCAAGGATGTGCTGGAGACCATGGCCTTCATGACTGAGCAGAGTAAGCTGAGAGCAGTTTGGAGGGCTGGGAGGAGGATGGCCAGGAGAGTGGGGTCACCACTGGCACCTGGCAAGGCCCCCATTCTGTGGAAAAGGGCTGGAAGGGTGTGGTCCCCATGGCTGTTGCCCACAAAGGGGGGTTGTTCTGTCTGAACGAACCCAGCAAAGCCACCGCCATAGCTCTCTGACTGCAGATGGGCCTTGCCTCAGGGCTGACGGGCTGCTGAGGAGATGGGCAGGTCACATCATTAGGGTTTCCGGTGGTTCTGCTTTGCGAGAAGGGTGAGCTAACAGCTGTCATTCCTCAAAAAAGTGGGCGACCCTTCCCAGCTCTGCAGAACAAAGCCCAGACAAGTTGGTGTGGGGAGTTTGCCACCTGCTCTTGTCAGTGGTTACAAAGGAGCATTTCCATCCACGTTTGGTTGTGGTGTATCCTGTAAGCTGCCTGTACTGTCGGCGCCACACATAGGTGACAGTGTGTCTCTCCGCTTGCCATGCAGTCACTGAGGCTCAGGCCCTGACAGCAGGAGAGAAGGGCTTTTTCAACCCAGCGCTGAATGAAAATCAGAAGTTAGCAGTCAAGCGGATCCTTAGCGGGGACTGCCGCCCGCTCCCGTACGTCCTCTTCGGGCCCCCTGGGACCGGAAAGACGGTGACCATCATCGAGGCTGTCCTGCAGGTGATACGCTAGCACTCACCGACCAGACGGTGCTGGTGCCACTGTGGCTAGTGCACGTTCGTCACCCACGGGTCAGGTTGCGCTGTCAGGAAGTGCTGGAGAGTGGTCAGGTTGCCTTAGGGCAGTGTCTGCAAAAATGGGGTGTTCTGCAGAGCTGTTCCCGGGGCTCAGATGCGCGGGAATCTGGGGTTTCAGAACTAGAGCAGTCACACGGTGATTTTGCTGCAGGAAAGACAGCACCTTGACACGGCCATTCTGCACACATTCTGTTTATACTTTACTGGACGTAGGAAGGTCGTGGGTGAGTCGGCTTCTGGGTTAGATCGGCACACATTCACTGAGCTCCCAGTGCAGCACTGCGCCTGTGCACATGAGGGCACGTCCGACTCACTCTGCCACCTTGCCTGTGTCTTGTTGGCACGGGCGATGGGGCAGACACTCTCCACGTTGCAGCTGTTGGTGTCTCAGCTGAGTGGTTGGCACGTGAGCCTGCCACACAGGGCTGTGGACAGGGTGCATGCAGCATGGGTCAGCCAACCTCGGGCTGTTTGGCAGCTGGGGTTCACAGCCCTATCTGTCTGCGGTGCAGGTGTACCACGCTTTGCCCGACAGTCGCATCTTGGTCTGCGCCCCCTCCAACAGTGCGGCAGACCTGGTGTGCTTGCGGCTGCATGAGAGCCAGATGCTGCGGCCTGGTACCACAGTCCGCGTGAACGCCACCTGCAGGTTCCAGGAGGTGAGTGACTGCAGGGCCCTTACTGTGCTGGATGGTTGGACAGACAGACGCGCTGCTGGTGGTAGTGTTTCCCTCCTTGGTGTTAGCTTACATATCACGCCTCCTCTGTGAGCAGCAGAACCCCCAGTGGATCCTCATGTCACCCCGGACACCCTCTTCACTGGCCCCAGGGCATCAACTCTTCCTGTCTGTTTCATTGGTTTGGTTGTTAGTGTCCCTTTAGAAATATGGAAGGGTCTTGATTTACTCTCAAGGGCGGGTATTGCTGCAAAAAGGAACTGGGCTCCGGAGAAGGTATCAAGGAAACTATCTGAGGTGGGTCTGCAGGGTCCCACGTGCGGCCTTTGAATCATGGGAAACCACCGGATGTCTCCCTCAGAGACGCCAACCCTGAATCACTGTTCAGTCGTCACTAGGACGGCAGCAGCGGGGCGGTCTGCCATTCGGTGTCGGTGGGTGCCTCTCCACAGACAATCATCGACGCCATCAGACCTTACTGCAGAGACGGGGAAGACATCTGGAAGGCTTCACGCTTCAGGCTGGTGATCACCACCTGCAGCAGCGCCGGGCTCTTCTACCAGATAGGGTTGAGGTGAGCAGAGCCACAGGCCTCACAGCGGGCTCTGTCCTCCTGGAGCTTCAGGGGCAGGCTAGAGTGATCAGAGGAGCGGGGGTGGGCCTGTGGGACCTGAGGGGCATAGGGGGGCGGGACACGGAGGGCAGGGGATGGAGCTGGGGGCGGGGGCAGGAGTAGAGGGCGGGACCTGGGGGTCAGGACTACAGGACGGGACCTGGGGGGACAAGGAAGACAGGACCTAGGGGCCGGGGGCAGGACCTGGGGGCAGGGGTGGGAGGCTGGGATAATGCAGCTGCTGTCTCATTGAGAACATCTTTGGCCGTAGGGTCGGGCATTTTACACACGTGTTTGTGGACGAGGCAGGACAGGCAAGTGAGCCCGAATGCCTGATCCCTCTGGGGCTCATCTCGGAAGTCAGCGGCCAGGTATGGCTCTTGTGGTGTTTGGTGTCTGTTGTCTTCCCTGCAGGGACGAGGCCTGGCTCAGTCTCTGTGTAGTGCCACCAGTGCACGAGCAAGCTGGGGACCTAGGGTCCTTGTTCAGTCACAGACCAGGAGGAACAGGGTGCTTCGCTAGCTTCACTCACAAAACTGGAGTGAGGTTCTGGCTGTTGGGTCCTGTGAGAGCAGCAGTCCTGGGACCTGTGGCCAGCACAGTGGGACTGACAGTGGATGCACAGTGGGAGGGTGCCCTGCCGGGAAGGTGGGCTCTCAGTCCCTATCAAGAGCAGACCCCACTGCTGTCACAGCTGCCCTCCGCTCAGGGTCTACTGGCCCGTCCCCTCAGGGTCTCCCAGCCCAGGAGTGACACAGGCTATCAGTCTCCTGCCATCACACCCTCAACAGCAGTAGGCTGGGGCTGCCACTTGGCATCTGCTCTGAGTCCCGTCAACAGACTACAGCCCAAGTTTAAACCCCTTGTCTCATCTGGGCTGCTGAGGCCACCCCAGGGGCAGAGTCCATGTGGAGGCCCTGGGAGGAGAGGGGCCTCAGACATGGATAGCCATCAGGTGAGAGGTAGATACAGAGTTGCTGTCAGCGTGGGGCCCTGGTGCCAGAACTGCCCCAGGAGGGAGGCACTAGCAAAGCACTGAGGGAGGGCCGGGGCCCCTAAGAGGCTAGTGGGGTTGGAACCTAGCTCACAGGAGGCCGGAGGGAGAGCCCAGTGGTCCTGTGTGTCAACTGTTTCTTGTCTGTGTTAGCAGATGCTGCCCTGGCCCAGCCATGGCCTCCTTATGTCGGCAGCCAACTGGGGTCCCCCAGCCCTCACCTCATCTTTTAGCCAGCGGTCTGTTTTCCTCACAGGGCCACCTCAGCCCTCACCCTCAGCCCGGGACCTTCCATTCTCCTTTCATGGAGCACCTTGCCTCCTTCCTGGCCCATGTCTTTCTGTGTCATGGGCCAAGCTAGGTGCTGCCAACGGCCTCACCCCACCCCATGCTGTGTCCACAGATCGTGCTAGCTGGGGACCCCATGCAGCTGGGGCCAGTCATCAAGTCCCGACTGGCCATGGCCTACGGGCTGAATGTGTCCATGCTGGAGAGGCTGATGTCGCGGCCGGCGTACCTGAGAGACGAGGATGCCTTTGGTGCTTGTGGCGCCTACAACCCCCTGCTGGTGAGCTTTCCTGCTGTCACACCACACTGATCACCAACACAGAGCTGCTCCGTGGCCCATACCGTGGTCCAAGCGTTTTGCCCCCAGAGGCACCTCCGTTCTCACGCCCCATGGGGAAGGGCCTCTGCAGGATGTGGGGAGTTCACATTCCACAGAGAAGGCGCTCTGGGGGGATGTAGGGGGCGGCACGCGCCTTGGCTGGGCTCCTTTTCCCGTGCTGGCGGCGCCCAGGTGTTCTGGGCAGTCTGCCACTGGAGCCAAGACTCTGGATCTGGTCTCAGGGTTGCTGTGTGATGGAGGAAGGTGAGAGACAGTTTTGTAACTTACCTACAAGAGAGAATACCTGCTGAGGGGGCGGCAGGCTGGGGCTCTGCTGCCCAGGATCTTGCTCCAGGGAAGGGGCTTGGGGTCTGATGTGCAGGGTGTCCCTGCATACAAGGGTTGAAGATCCTGAATCTCCATGCTCAGCCTCTAACAAGTGAGTCAGGCGGAGCCGTTTTCCATCCTCCTACAACACAAGAAACCTATTTCCGTCTGAGCTCATGTTAATAGTATTGGTGCTAAACAGAAAATGTTGGGCCAGGTGACCAGCCTAGAACCTGTTCCTGATTTCTAGCCTGAGCCCTTTGTCCCACTGTATACATGAAGTGGGACAGAGGCTGCATGGACAGGCTGTGTCAGGCACAGGGACAGGGCTTCCAAGCTGACAAGGCACAGAGGGCCTGCCAGTCGTAGGTGCGAGGCCCACAGGAGATGTGAGCCCCACGAGTGTCCACATGGCCCTCTGGCTGCTTGGCGGTGGGGGGTTCTAGCCCACAAAGTGGGAGTGAGTGTATACCCAGGGGAACCATTGCCTGGCCGTTGGGCTGTGCACCGAGCGAGAAGCGAGCAGAGTCCCTCTCTTCCTGCACCAGACTCTGCATGCATCTGTGCGTGGTCTACCCTGGTGAACCACATGTCCCCATAGGTCACCAAGCTCGTGAAGAACTACAGGTCCCACTCAGCTCTGCTCGCTCTGCCATCCCGACTCTTCTACCACAAGGAGCTGGAAGTCTGTGCAGATCCCGCCGTGGCGACCGCTCTACTGGGCTGGGAGAAGCTGCCCAAGAAGGACTTCCCGCTTATCTTCCACGGGATCAGGGTAGGTCCATGCGTGAGCATGACAGGCCAGCAGAGAACACCCATAGCAAGAGTTGGCTTATGAATGTAGGGGACCACTGCTAGTCCCCAAGAGTAAAAACCATGAGAAAGGGAGACACAGGCCCCCTGGGCCCCATGGCCCATGATGCTGACTGCTATGGGTAGATGTCAGTAGCAGGCAGGCACAGAGGGCTTCCTCCTGAGACAGACAGACAGGAGGAAGAGGCATGGTCTGGCCAGACTGGCCACAGGGAGTGGACGCAAAGGGGACAGAAGGCTGTGCATCAGGAAGCCACCAGGAGCACACAGCCCCACTGTCCTGGTCACTTTTCAAGAGTCAGAGTGCCAGCTGGAGGAGTCAGGGGAGTGGGCACTGTCACCAGCCAGGCCCAGCTAACCGGGGCCCCTCCTTTGAGAACTCACAGAGAGGTAGAACCCCAGTGGGTGTGGGCCGTCACCTGCCAGGGCACCTCCTCCAAGGACGTGTGCTGCTGGCCAGGCCCCTCCACGGTCTCATGAGTGAGGTCCCCAGTGGGCTGCATGGGTGCCTGGTAGTGAGCAGAGTTGCAGGGCTCAGCACGGTGAAGCAGAGCCCAGGAAGACTTGGGCTGTAGACCCAGAAATCAGGGTTTATGTTAACCACCCCCAAGACAAGGGCACAAGTTATTGTTCTGAGATGAGACAGCATTTGGACTTGAGGGCCAGAAATGCTGCTTTCAGAGCGTCCCTGGACTGTGTGTGCCTCTTCTCTGCAGACCAGCCATCAGGGAGCGGGAGCCCAGGTACCCGCATCAGCTGCCTGGTGACCACCAGATACACACGGGACTGCTACAGTGCATGCTGGTCAGGTGTGGTCACCGGACTGGCTGCTGTGGGGGAGGTGCGTTGCAGGGGTGCTATGTGTGCCCCTTTTTGGTAGCAGAGGTTCAAGGAAAGTGTGGTGAGGCAGACGCCTCAGGATGGTCTAAGCAGGGGGGCACCACCTCATTGGCTGGCCGGCACTCCTCAGCCCTGCTTCCCCACCCTGGTCACCGTCCAGAGCTTCCCTTACATCAGCAAGCAGTTAGGATGTGGAGTTAGGGGAGCACAAGGCTGTCCTAACACACAGAAGCAAACCTAACAAGGTCTGAGCAAGAACGCTGTAGAAAAATTGTAACACTTTGCTGGAGTGCAGAAAACAAGATGAATATTTCCTGTCTGTGAACAGAGACCATTGTTTTAAAGGTGGCAGTACTGCCCAGCTTGGCCTGTGTGTCTGGTGCCCTCCAAGTGAAAGTCACGGTAGGCTTCTTCACAAAAGACTGGCTCTCCAATGGCATTGTGCATGTGCCGAACATTTTAGGCAGCTCACTGTACTGCAGAGTTGTAAACGAAAGTGCTCATCTGGGGCCCCTGGGGTCAACAGGACGTAGGAGTGGAACAGAGTGGAGTCCGACATGATGATAAACTGAGTGGATGTTCTCCAGGAACCTCATCTGTACCAGGCTCCAACCTGGGCCTGGGGACGAGATGGGACAAGGCAGCCCCGTCTTCTCTCCATCTCAGCAATGCTGGCAGGGCCACGATCAGACTGTCCCTCTTGCCCACCTCACCCTGTCACCTCTTTCAGTCTCCCTCTCTGGACAGCAGAGGGTATTCCCTCTCAGGAGTCTCTCCTGACCACTCCATATCACAGCCTGCCCTGTGTAGGTCCAGAGGACCTGTTTGGTCACTGCCCATCCCCAGTGCCCAGAGTGGTCCCTAATGTAACAGGAACACAGTAATGGGGTAAGTGGGTCCCTGTGGGGTGGAGCTGGACTGCAGGTATTCCCAAGACAGGCCCTGAGACAGCTGTGGCCCAGCTGTCAGAAGGAGCTGAGGCGTCCTTCATCCCCCAGCCCATCTCCTGTCAAGTCTCCATGGGTTCCCCCAAGCAGCAGCAGCGTGCCCAGGAAGTGTCTGCCTGGCTCTCTGTACAGGTGCACATCCTCAGAGAGCTGCTCAGTGACCACCGTCACAGAGGTCAGGCCCACGAGGAATAAGCTTGTGGCAGGGCCAGGTGACAGGGTGTGGGGCCATCAATGACTTAGATGCGTCTGCCTCAAGGATGAGGGTTGGCTGGATAGGTTGGGGGCTGTGTTCCGTGAATAAGGAGGGGCAGTCCCAGGCAACGGAATTGGGTGGAGAAGGGGCTCTTGAGTTGGAGGGTCAAAATTGATCAGGCCTGTGCTGGCTGACACTTTGGGGCGGGAATCCTGGATGCAGGAGGACGCATATCTAGGAGCTGGGGTCATGAAGTCATGGGGAGGGGTCTGACACAGATGGTCTAGCTGCTGAGACGCTGTCCAAAAAGCTAACAGCCACCGCGACGCTGCAGTGCGATAGGGTGCTTCTGGGGTCTTCCTTGCTGTGATCTCTGAACTCCCACCAAATGACTGGGTGGGCTATACAAACTGGGTGGGCTATACAATTGAAGTGCCGTGGCCTACCAGGAGATTGGACAGCTTGCTAATAATAAGGTACATGTCACCCTTGTTGGAGTGGGACCATGCAAATAAGGTGTGTGGAACCCTAACAAGGCGATTGGTCAGTTGCCATCCCAGTAGGCTTAAAATGAGCCATCTCAGGTGGAGCGGAGACCACCAAGAAGAGATGGAAGCACAATGTGTTGTTTAGACCAGGGGTCCCTGTGCTGGGAACCTTCTAGACCCAAGAGCAGAGAACCGTAACACTGGAGATACCACAAGCTGGCAAGAAGCAGCGTCAGAGAGATGACAGCAGCAGAAGCAGCAAAACCAGGAGACAGCATGGCAGGCTTCCCGGCCCCCAGGGCGATAGAGCTGAGTGCCGTTGGGCAGTGCCGTTGGTGGACTGGGGTGCATCTGGGCACTTCCTGGTGGAACTCAAGAGCTTTGTAATGCTTGCCCAAGTCAGGCAGACTGAGCCGCCTGCTGAAGGGCTGAGGGCCAGGGAGAGGCTGTCCCACCAGAGAACGGTGTTCTGAGCTGTTCTCATCTGGAGCTGTGACCCCTTGCTTCCCTGATAAACCCCACGAGGAGTCTGTTCTGAGAGTTCTGTCTGGCCATCACAGTGGATTACTGAACCCAGCAGAGGCACAGAGAGGCCGTGGGATGGGGGCTGTGGTAGGAATTGGTGAAAAGTTTGGAGGGTGGCGACCTCATGGTACAACCTCAGGTTGATGTTGCTGACAGTAGTTCTCCCCCTCAGGACATCAGACGAGGTCAGCTCCCCTCACACCATTCTTTCAGATGTGTTCTGGGGCAGGGCCTCCGGCCTCAGCCTTTTTTGTCAGAGTGCATTCCTGTCAGACTCATGATTAGAACCTAATTCTGATGCAGTGAACAGGACTGACATTTATACAAGGCTCCTGACAACCATTTTGGATTTTAAAGTGATAGCATTCTCATTCGGATTCCAGGGACATAAGAACAGGCAGTGAGGCGGGAAGCAAGGAGAGGACAGAAAAGGCAAAGGGGACCGGAACAGATTGAGGAGTCAGCCGCAGGGACTCAGGTGAAGAGAGGAAACCCAGACCACACCCCACAAGGAGGAAGGCAGGGAGAGCACAGAAAAGGCAAAGGGGACCGGAACAGATCGAGGAGTCAACCGCAGAGAGCCAGGTGAGGAGAGG